ACGCTGTTTGGATCAGAATCTTGCTCTTGTTCTTACCGATGAAGAATTTGAGGAACTGATCAGCAAATATGATAATACAGGCAAAGGAATGATCAACTATATTGATTTCATTGAGTCAGTTCAAGCATGTAAGAACTTGCATGCAATGATGAATGCAATGCATGATGTAGCTGCACATTCATTATACTGTGAAATTCACAAGTTGCAGCTATTTGACACTAATTAATGCATAAGTGTTAATTTTCTTAATCATTCATGCAAAATTCCACTATGTTTCATCAAGTATATAATGTACATTCATTGTAGCATTCGTCCCTGATAAACTTGATGGGAAGCCCAGGGAACAAATAGATCAAATGCTCAAGACTCCCTCAACACTCACCAAATCAACACTCTCTCCACTTAATAAAGAGAGGACTGACCACCTCCTCCAGAGATGTGCTGAATTCTATTTGGTAAAGAGAGCATTTCCCCACATTTTAACTAAAATTGCAAACCTTATGCTAAATTTAATTTTTATAGTCTCGTGGGATTGTAGTCAAAGCTTGCTATGAGGATTTTGACAGGCACAATATGGGCTATGTCACCTTTAGTCAAGTAAGAGAGAGAAAGAGAGAGAGGAAGGTTTTGAAGAGATTAAAGTCCAAAAGAAGAAGCAACAGTTTCATTTTATGATCTCTTCTAGTTTCATCGTAGTTTCCCTGGGCCGGTTGAAGTGACTGACACAGAGATATCAATGCTAGCCCGTCGCTATTATGATCCACTGGTCAAACTGTACAATTACTATCGTTTCAATGACGATATAAGGAGTATATGGGAAAGGGAAGGAGGCAGAGGATCTGCAGTGAAACAGCAATCATTACTATCCCCTGTAAGACCCTATGCAGTTGGATAGCCTTTGCATACATTCAAATGTGTATGCATGTACATGTACATGTACATGCATATTAATATACCTTTTTTTGCATTGTACTTGTAGGTAAAGGAGGCAAGTAGCATACAAGATATCATCAATCAAATTAGGTAAAGTATATTATTATACTGTACATTCATATTGACATCTATACAACATATGTGCTTTATATTATAGGGATACTGTTTACAAGTATGGGATCAGGACTACAGAGTTTTTCACTGATTTTGACAAGCTTCGGAGCGGACTTGTCACAGAGAACCAGTTTGTGTGTGGCCTGTCTCTCCTAC